CACACACACACACACACACTCGCAGACACACACACACACTCGCAGACACACACACACACACTCGCAGACACACACACACACTCGCAGACACACACACACACTCGCAGACACACACACACACATCGCAGACACACACACACACACTCGCAGACACACACACACACACACACTCGCAGACACACACACACACACTCGCAGACACACACACACACACTCGCAGACACACACACACACACTCGCACACACCACACACACACTCGCAGACACACACACACACACTCGCAGACACACACACACACACTCGCAGACACACACACACACACAGACACACACACACACTCGCAGACACACACACACACACACTCGCAGACACACAACACACACAGACACACACACACACACACGCAGACACACACACACACCACACACCAGACACACACACACACACACTCGCAGACACACACACACACACTCGCAGACACACACACACACATCGCAGACACACACACACACTCGCAGACACACACACACACACTCGCAGACACACACACACACACACACACACAGCAGACACACACACACACACTCGCACACACACACACACACACTCGCAGACACACACACACACCACTCGCAGACACACACACACACAGACACACACACACACACAGACACACACAACACACACACACACACACTCGCAGACACACACACACACACACACACACACACACACTCGCAGACACACACACACACACACACACACACACACACACACACACACACACACACACACACACACACACACACACACACACACACACACACACACACACACACACAGACACACACACACACACACACTCACAGACACACACACACACAGACACACACAACACACACACACACCACACACACACACACACACACAACACACACACACACACACACACACACACACACACACACACACACACACACACACTCGCAACACACACACACACACACACACTCGCAACACACACACACACACACACACACACTCGCAGACACACACACACACACTCGCAGACACACACACACACACTCGCAGACACACACACACACACTCGCAGACACACACACACACACTCGCAGACACACAACACACGCACGCACACACACACACACACACGCACCAACACACACACACACACACACGCACGCGCACGCACACACACGCACGCACACACACACACACACACACACACACACACACACACACACACACACACACACACACACACACACACACACACACACACACACACACACACACACACACACACACACACACACACATGCAGACACACAGTAGACGGCCTGCTAGTATGTGCTATGAACTCTTGACAAGAGTATTTGGAGGTGATACTAGTGCAGTGTTTCTTCAAGATCCTGATATGGCCAGTTTTGCTGTGGATGATGTCCTATAGCTTGGACTATATACATGTGTGCATGTGGGTGAGGGTGATTGTGTGTGCATTTTTGTGTGTGTGTGTGTGGTCCTGTGTTTTTGTATCTATATATATGAATGTTTATTTGTTTTTTCATATCCTTTTTTATTTTCATAATAATTTTAGTTCATTTATTCTTTAATGTATGGTAGGAATACCTTTTTCGATGTAATTGTTTAACCTCCCATTACTGTTTTTTGTAGGCAATGAAGCTGCAGCTAGTGACTGCTCTGGGTGCTTTAACAGGTACCTGCATTTCTCTTCTTGCTGAAGGAGCAGGTAAGTTCAGGTTTTATTTGATTTTGTGAACAGGCAACCCTCAGTATACTGGAGTCTGTAACAATCGGGATATTAATTAAATACCAGTTTAACTCTAGTTAAACCACAGGAGCTGGGATGGCACTTTGTACATGAAACTGCTACTGTGATTTTAGTTTATGAATTTTGTTTACACACTGATGGTTCCTTAAGAGTTTTGTTAACAAGGAGAGTATTGCTAGTCTATCCTGATATAACCTACTTACCCTTTTCCTTCATTTTTGTAGATTTTTTTTTTTATGATAACATATGAAAATAATCCCAAGGTCGATGATGGTGATGATGATGGTGGTGATGATGATGGTGGTGATGATATATGATGACATTGAAAATAATGATATTAATAGCATTTGAAAAAATGACTTCTGAAAGGAATGGGATGTCAGATGAGGTTCAGTAAAGTTACTCTTAGGTGACTAAGTGCTTTAGGAGCCATATATGTGAAAACAAAATTAACAAACCAAAAACTAATGGTCAGTGCAGTTACTCAACTAGCTGTGACTCCTTCCCTTCAAGTATTTTATCCTAAGTTGTATTAGGTCTATTAGTAGTTTATTACAGTGGTGTTAAAATCATTACTTATTACAATATTAACCCTTTGGATCCAGTTGCATCATGGAAATCACAGAGCTGAAAACACGGTCAATGGGTTACGTAAGTGGCCAATATCCCGGGGTGTGGTCCTTAGGTTGGGCACGCATGAACACCCATGAACGGTGACACGACTCTGTGCCTCCCCTTTGAAAAGTTATTGTGATTTTTTTTTTTTAAGCTTTATCGCCATTTTCCAATGTCCATATTGGTCTTTTGTCCATATTTGCTTTATCTAGATGGTAATTACTTATTTTCCTTGCAGTCCAGATTATCTCTCTATGTAGTAAGTAAGTAAAATATGGAACATTTAGTTATTTGTGTCATTTATCTCATTTTTTGCGTAATTTTCAATTTTATGTAATACAGCCTGTGCTGCCAGTCACAGGAGCCAGGACTATGGTATGCATGGAAATAGTATCCTCCCAGGAGCCGGCGCTTTTCCTGTCACTGCTTACGCATGTTACATTCCACATTTGTTTATTGATAGGAATAATGTGAAAGCCCCCTTCTAAGTGCAAAATGAGTCAAATGACACTCCAAGAGGTTTGTGCACTTGGGGCGAGTCTTTTCTGTTACCCTAGCCTTCACTCATGACCATTTCTTGTCACCTTGGCCGCGGCCAATTTTACCTGGGTCCATGGGGTTAATATCGTAATCAAACTACAAAAATAAGCATGGTGAATATATATTTCCTGTTTCATTTATTTTCACTTGAGTTTCTTGCACAGTGCACCAAGATCCATATGGAACAGGGAAATCTCATGCTGTTTAGGTTAAATGGATGCTATGATTTGTGTAATATCTCGGGCCTTTTTAGCGAGGGTAGAGGTGTACATGTTCAGTGGTATTATTTCATAGCCATTCCTTTTACTAGGGCATATATATATAGATGAACAATGAGACATGTTAGTCAATGATAACTGCTGTAATTTTCTCTGCATATTTTTATCTATTATTACTTATTCTCCCTTCAGATGAGTCAGCCATTGCCTGGATACTTCCCTTCACTGCTGGGGGTTTCATCTACATTGCCACTGTGTCTGTGATTCCAGAGCTGCTAGAAAACACCCAGTTCTGGCAATCTATATTTGAGGTTATTGCTCTCTTGAGTGGTGTTAGCCTCATGGTGGTGATTGCCCAACTAGAGGAAGTGGGCCATGAACACTGATGTTTTATCTGGAAGTGTTAAAATTTTTATAAATTTGTTTTCCCTCATTTAGAAAGGGTCAGTTTAGTTTATTTATTAGTGTTGTGTTTTAACTTGGTTTCATTGTTTTTGCTTCTTTTTTTATATGTGTAATTTTACCATGGAGAATGGAAAGTGACGAATGGATATTAGCTCAGCTCTACTACCACAGAGTAAATATAGATGTATACATATTGTGTGGTTCATAGAATGTTTTTTATATATTTATCTTTGACTATTTAGATATTTGTTTTCCATTTCCCTGCCCCTTTTTTTTGTTTTGCTTTGCAGTTGTAGTAACCTTTGTTTGTGCATTTAGTTGTTCATATATTAGTTTCATATTTATGAAGTGGTGCTTAGGTCAAGAGTCAAAAGAAAGAACTGCTGTTATATTTTTCTCAGTGTGTTTATTTAAATATTTTTGTATATGCACATTCTAATATGAATTTTACTGAACTTTCCAATTTACACAAACGTTGCTGAGTGTCATAATTGTAAGTTTATACATATTGTCATCATTATTTTTGTTTTAATCTGATCTAGCAAAAGCATTCCCTACTCCATTTTCCTTCCATAAACTCAGATCTTCATAACCTATTTTTGTCTGTCATTCTTCCAGACAATTAGACTAGACCTTTTTATACTTGGAACAAACCCGGGATTGCATGTATGCAGTCAAATCATTATTTTCATAGAAATAAAATGCAATATTGATCTACTTATTTCTATTGCTCTGCCAATTTCATGGTTTGTACAGTTGTATGTATTGCAGACCTATAGTTGTGTGAAGATACACAAGCACAATTTTACAGGTATACTTCCAGACACTTTGAACATTTTCTTTACAAACATCTATAGAAACAGAGATTTTCATAAGCATATTATCATATATATATATATATTGTTTTCTTATCTTTTTCACAAGCACACAGGCACATGCACTTTCTTTTACACACTGTGTCATCAAAAACACACAGATATAATTAACTTAATTTTTCAGTGTAATCTGCAAAAGTGATCAAATGAACAATTGTCATTATGAATGGTTGCTTAGTAGTAAAGAGCATTAGAATTCTACATGATGCTGGGATGTTGGGCGCTGGCAGGCATAGTTTAGTTTTTTACTAGTAAAGTTAAGGTAGGGATGTGTTAGGTGGTTATGATTAATAAGAAATATATTTTTGTCTGATCTGGATGGACTGTGTGTGTCATAAATAAATGCCCTATCTTCATTTGATGTTTTGTTGCTCTTCATTTTGTCATTATATTTTTAATCTGTTTTTAAGAGCAATGTGTTTTTGTATTTTGCAAGTTACTGAGTTGCAAAGATTTAATTTAGTACATGTGAATGAAATGTAAAATTAGCTGTATTTCTTATGCATATGCACACTAATTAAAAGAGAATTTGATACATTGCTCTCTAGTCTTCCTTGTAATGAAAATGTTTTAAAATTATCAAAATACTATGCAGTTAATTGGAAAAAAATCAAAGAAATCAAGAAAAAAGAGAAAGAGCTTGCATCTAAGGATATCTAAAGGCATATGCAGTAAAAGTTTACATTCTATAGGAATAAGCAGAATATTTGGCGATGAAATATTGGACAAATAATGTTGAATATAATACAATATTACATTACTGAGTGATATGTTGCTTTTATTGCACTTGATAATCATCATCATTCTGTATCCTCCTGATGATCACATTTACCTATATCTCTGGCACAGTACATATAATGTAGTTTTTTTCTGATACTACATAATTCATTAATATTTTAATTGAAAGTGGAAGAATATACAGGACTTTTAGTTCTATTAATAACTTTTACTCATTTGCCAAGTTCTTAAGGAAAATAACTTGTCTTATAACTGAAAAGCTCAAATAAGCAGATCAATTAATTACATTTTTAGTTGGCTCTGGTGAAGAGGACAGTTTTAGATGTGTATGTGTATGTGATAATTTTTCTTCAGCATTCGATTCCCCTTTACTTATTATTTATTAAAAATTTCCTGTCATGCCAACATCTAAGATCATTAGCAATGCATTGAAAGTGTAGTGACAGGGTGATGCTTAGGGACAAAGTTTTTTGGTTCATAAGGCAATATTTGGGGATTCCCAGAATGGTTAATTGACAAAACAAGAGTGGTGAAAAGGTTAAGAATGAGTTAACGGTTAAGACTAAATATGTTAGAAGTCAAAGGATGTAGAGTGCTGTAGGTTCGTATGGTATTGAAAAGGATAAGGATGGAAGAGCAAACATAGTACAAAGGCTGTTCAGAACTGACACAAAGCCAGCCTTTTATCCTTTCAACATGGCTCTCACACTTTAGGATGTGGACAGAAGAAGTGGATGAAGAGAAGGAAAAGGAAAAGGGAAGAAGAAAAGACCATGCAAAATATGATGAAAGGGCTGAGGCAGAAGATGGACCACAACTAATTTTGCATGATCTTTTCTTCTCTTTCCCTTTCCTTTTCCTTCTCTTCTTTATCCCTTTCTTCTCTCCACTTCTAAGGTGTGATAGCTGGGCAGAAAGGATGAAAGACTGGCTTTGTGTCAGTCCTGAATGGCCTCAGGACTCCATTTGCTCTTCTCTTTTTACCCTTTTCACTAGCATACTAACGTACAGTGCTGGAAAACCTTACACATCTATTATTTTGTCCTAATCAATAACTTGTTTTTACCCTTTTTGCCACAATATATCATGATAGTGCTATGTGACTTTTCCTTACCTGTGGGTTTTGCCCCAAACCTCACCCAATAGGTATATTTTGAATACACTGCCAATGACCATGGATGTTGAAGTGGCAGAAAGTTTTCAAAAAATAAATAACTGAGAAAGTGATGAATGTACAAAGAAGAGAGTATAATAAGACAAATAATAAAATTATGAAGAGCAGATGGTACAGGGAAAAATGGCAGAACAGATGATAAAGTGAGAAGAGACAAAGGGTCAAAAGGAGAGATATGATAAAGGGACAGATGGAAACAAATGGAAAAATTGTGATGATAAAGGGACCCAAGTCAAAGCAATAGATGGACAAAAGACAAAGGGACAACTGATATAGAGACAATGGACAGACAGGGTAAAAAATTCGGAAGTAGGAAGAGATGATAAATGGACAAAGGACAAAGGGACCGATAATAAAAGACCAGATGATAAAGAAAGAGAAAGACAGAGCATAAAGGGATAAAGGATAAAGGGACATATGATAAAGGGATAAATGATATAGGGAAAAATCCATATATGATAAAGGGACAAAGAACGTGACTGATGATACCAGGAAGAAGGGAAAAATTATAAAAGGACAAGAGAGACCTGATTAAAGGAGATAGGACAAACTGGAATGCTAAAGGGACAAAGGCCAGATGATTAAGGGAGGTAGGATTAACTGACATACCAAAGGGACAAAGGACAGATGATAAAAGGATATAGGGACAGATGACAAAGGACAGTGAAAACACATGATAAAGGGCCAAAGGGCAGATGGGAAAGAGACAAAGGACAAACGAAAAAGGTACAGATAATACAAGAACAAATGGCAAAAGGACAATTGATAGGGGGACAAAGGGCAAAGGAGAAAAAGAAAAAGGGCCAGATGATAAGAGGGACCAAGGAGAAAAGGACTGGTGACAAAGGAATAGATGATAAAGGGGCAAAGGACAGATGGCAAAAGGGCAAAGGGAAAAATCGTAAGATAAAACAAAACAATTATTTGCCAAAACTGAATTTAGGAAAGACAATAATAAATATTAATGTACAATATTCGCCTCTAAACTACCCTTTTTTAAGCAGAGCTTTTCAGGCAATACAAGTAAGCAGTATAAACTTATACTATTTACAAAATGTGAATAAATTCAAAAATTATGCATAAAAGTGATAAAAAATGAGCTGAGCAGGGGTGAACCTACGACGAAGATGTGGGTCATATGAAATAAACCAATGATCGAAATATAGGTTTAATAAAGATGTCCATAATCGGTGAGTTGGGCTGTACTGATACCTTAACTCCTCAAGGTCTTCTCATGACCTCGAGTTTTACCTTTAAATTTACTTAGGTAGTGTTTAGTGTGTCAATAACCTGCATATAGGTAGGCCTTGCGAAACAATAGAAGACGTGTAGATGATGTGCTGTATGTACAATTTTATGTATGGGTGTCAGTCTGTATGTAAAAGAAGGTATACCAATGCAGGTGGGCGTGATGATTCAAGTTGGTATTTATACACTTTCTTTTATCTTGGTTAGATGAACAGCTAAGTTCACTGTCTATTAACTTTTAACCTATCTTTTTTATCCAGTAAATTCATCTGGAGGAACTACTAAATTAACATTACCCATTCTTTAGTATGATTAATACTCAATCATTAGATTTTTTCTTTAATCATATTTCGATTGATCCTTTCTCCTTATTTTTTATTTGATTGTTCATTTGTTCATGATAGTACTCCAAAACTATATATTACAAAATACAGAAAAAAAGATAAATTAATTAAACCAATAGATACCATGATATATTTATTTGTATGTAGCAAAGTGTCTCCTCTCTTCATATACAAACATTCATGGGTCTGGTCTTTCTCTCCCCATATCCTCCAACCATAAAAACAAAAGGTCTTAATTTTTTCTTGACTGTCACCCAGCGTCATGTGAACAAGCTTATCTGATCAATGGATCCTATTCATTGTTTCAGTCTAGATAAGGTCTTAAAGTTTTGTCACTTTACTGATTATTCTTTCATCATCTGCTAATGCGTCTGTTATAGCGAAATCTTCAGTTATTAATGTGATTTATTGATAGGTTGAGTGTGGAGTGGGCACTGTTTTTCCTGTGGGGTGTGTGCCACTTTTCTATTATAGTGTTGTGTATGTAGTTTATTTGCAGGTTGACCCTCTCACTTAGCCACTAAAGAAGTATTTTTGCTTTTATAAGGGACACAAAATACTTCAGATCCATACGGACTATGCTAAGATCCAGATCACCAATTAACCAGGCTAATTTGTTAGCTTGTTCATTGCCATGATACCCATTTTACCTTGATTCATTTGTTGGTACCATGTAGCTTATGAAGGATATTATCCAGTTCATTTTTGAAGTTTCTAATAATTTAATTTTATCAATAGCAAAAGGTTCAACAGGAAAGATCGATGCAGTTAGTCCTGAAGCCCAGAGACATTTGTTTCACGTCTTGAGTACAAAAGGCTTGAGGCCTGCAATGTATGCATCTATGATAGGAGACCAAAAAAATACAATTCTTAAGTTCTGCAGTTCTGCACAGCAACCAGGGGGCTTCACTAAAGACCTCCCTAAATGTGACTTAATTCATAATTTGAGTACGTCTTTCAGTACATTTTTGTATGGTCTCTTTCGTCAGTGAGGATAGTATTGACACATTCATAAGGGTGTGTCTCAAAGAGTACATTTTGCATTCTTAAGGGGGTTAATGCATGAAATGGACACTTAAGAATTGCTGTTCTTGATTCACGATAATCTATTGAACAGTTTGAGACCAATTTGAAAGATGTACTCAAATTGTGAATTAACACTCACCTTGCCAGGGACGGGGTCAATGAGTAATTTTACTATAAGTGTATTAATACATTAAATGGATACTTAAGAATGACTGATCTTGATTTAGGATGGCCAAAGGAATACATTGCCATATGTTTCATGGATGTACTGAAATTGTGAATTAAGTGCAAGTGCGTTAGTGTTTCTTGGGGAATCAAAGTTGTTTCCCTCATGGATGATGTTCTTATTTTTGCAAGATCTTTTCTTATTTAGTTTATTAACAGTGGGCCAAACCTGTGATACTATGTTGGCATTAAATGTAGAGACAAAGCACCGCCAGGCGTCTGCGTCTAATATACTATGGTTTTTCCATCAACTTTGAGCTTGACGCTACTTGTGTAGGTGACCTAGTCTGCTTTTTTACCTTAAAATTAGATTCTGAATGCATTTTTGCTGTGTCACATGATTATTTGATACAAATAGGAGAGTAATGGCTTCCCAACGAGTCATCAATGATGTGCCACAGGCACTTGGTTGCTAATGTGATGCGTATTGCAATTACCTAAAACTGATTTATATTTTGGCAGACTGCTCTGAAGAGCAAAGAGCTAATCATAAATTACCAGATAACCTGGTGGACAGTAAACTGAACATGTAGCCAGCTAAGTGTTATAGATTTTTACTTTGCATGGGACATGCTAGACAGTACAATCAATCTCCACTTCATTGAAAGGGAGATTTTGGTGGATGTACATTTCCCAACAGTCCAACCGGTACACCCCTGCGGTGCAAGGACTGTATTTTTTTCTAGTAATACATATATAGTATCCAGTATTCTGTGATTGGAATGCTCTTGTTTTTACCTTCAGACTCATAGTGTACCAGTTGGAAATGTGGGGAACT